CATAGTCCAAGTCGATATTATGTAAGTTCTGTTCAGATTTTCTACATAAGTCTAGTAAAATTTTGGAAGCAAGGTCAGCTGAAATAAAATAAAACGCTTTTTCTATGACAATTTATTAAAATTAACAATTTTAAAATATTGTTTGTGTTAAAAAACAATGTAAGAGGCAAATTTGCAAAATAAGTTAGAATTTGCACATAAATTGTTTAACATCATTTGAAATTTAAGGGTCTGATCGTGATATAAGATTGCGTATCTCGTTTTTTTTGATTGTATACGAAAGTTTTTCACTTTGTCTTTGAAAGTGAAACATCCATTAGAAAATACTTATAATTATGATTTGAAAGTGAATAAAAAGTGAGCAAAAAAGCGATATATACGATCAGGCTGTAAATATTAAAAATTGAATCAAAATTCTGTTCATCTAAATACTTTATCCTACACTTATATTTTCGTATGATGACACTTCTATTTAAATGTAAAATTAGAATGGAAGATTTTTTTTTCTCTTTGTTGTAATATAGTCTAAAGTGATGAATTTCAAACATTACCATATCATTTTTGTTTTTTATAATATTAAAATATTGAACAAAACAACAAGGTGAAATTCATTAAAATTATAGTGACTTGTTTGCAACGTCATCTCTTTTAAAATTTTGCTTTGCAAATGTATGTGTCCAAATGTGTTTGTGTGTATATATGTAAAGATGAATATTGTATATATTGTACGTTATATACTAAATTAAAAACTATTTCTCTCGTTTTGTTTTAGACACTTTATTCATTATATTACTGTTAAAAATGGCTCTGATCGCAATAAAAGAGGAAAAAAATGCAAGTTGTGCTTAATTAAAAGAATTATTTTTATACTAAAAAACAGAAAGAACTTCGGTAACTTTTTATTCAAATTGAGAGTTACTTTAGGTATATCAGGTGCGCTTTTCGTAAAGCTATACAACGCAACTTAAAATAAAAGATAATTTGTTTGACCTAAGCTGAAGTAATATTTTATTTTTGAAAACTATTAGTAAAATTATAAAATTTATTTAAACATGTTAGGAAGAAATATATTTTAAGATTTGTAAATAAAATTCTATTATTAGGATTTCCATTCCTACCATAAATTCAATTTGCAGAATTCTACGAATTACGAACTTGACTTGACGTAGAATTTTGAATGATCACAAATTCTACTTGTAGAGATTATGAATCAGCAATGGCAGACCATTTTTCGGAGTATGAAAATCCGTATTTTGTTCTAACCTTCAAATGGTTTTTTAAATTTTTTCATGATAGGATTTCATGATAGGGTTTTTCATATACTTACACAATATGAATATAAATATAAAAAGATAATTATCTCTTGTGCATATATAGATATAGTTACTAATTAATAGATATAAATCACCAAATTTCTTATTGTTTAATATTTATTTTAAATACTTTGTTTGATTCCATACAAAATTTCCCTTGTTTTAACTTTCATTTTTCAATAAAATTTCTATTTTCATTGAAAAATATGAAGTCTGCTTATTTCTGATTATTCTTTATTGAAATTTCTATATGCATAGATGTTTCCTTTTACGAATGAAAAAGCGCACGTTTTATTGATTTTGTCTTTACGAGAATAATAATGTGTCGTAATATAATTATGTGATTTCTAAAAATAAAAAATATTCTGGTCTTCCACTAACTTGAAGTTTGATAGAATTTTGTAAGCATTGAATAAAAATAAAAATTTATTGATTCATAGCTTTTGTTTTGTTTTTAAGACTAAGGCTATCAGCATTGTTGTTATTTTGTTAATTTTTCTACTGGCCATTTCAAAATGACCAGCTGGAATTTTTTAAAGCTAAATATTTTTTATTTCAGAAATTATGAATGAAAATTAAGTACACTTTGGATTTCTGTAGAACCCTAATTACTTATTACTTAATTTAAAACACATAATTCAGATTCAAAATTAAATTTTTAGTAAGTTTTTATAGGTTCTTTATTTACTATATATAATATACTATATTACTTATAAATTTTAATATTTTATTTTATTTCAACTCCTAAAAAATCCTTATTTTTCCAGTTGCCCATTTAAAATAAATTCAATTTCTGATGTAATCGTGTGTAATATGTGTTGTATATATTATAAATTTACTACTTAGTAAAGTAATTAAAATAATAAAGTAATTAAAATAATAAAATAATTAAAATAATAAAGTAAAGTATTATACATAAAATAATAATTTACTATACCCGATATTGTTAATTTAATTTTTGCATTAGACCACAATATAAGCTAATATGGTGATTTCAATCTACTGTAGATTGATTCGTTATTATACTTATTATTTTTATTTTCACGAGCAATGAAGAGTAAAAAAAAGAACAAGAAAGTAATCTTTATGCTTTCCAAATTCTCTTATAACATTATACTGAATTATTGCTGTATGCAAAATTATTATATAACAGCATGCCGGTCGGTTTGTTAGTCTGTCGCAATGTGTACTTATGCACTTTAGTTGTTATAAAAGCTAAATTGCATTCATTCTCACCAATATTTTATGCGAAGCTGTTATGATTTTTAACTTTTTTAGTTAAATATTTGCTATTAGGGGCTTCTGTCAACACACTTCTCTAATTAAATTAGAGTTCAAAATAGTATTGATGGTTTAATTAAATGAATTGTTTACGGCAGGCTAGTCACCTACCTAGTTAAATCTATGACGCTATGAAACCAGGGTATTATATCATGCCCTAGCCCTATGCTATGTGTATAGGGCACTAGCCCTATTCGAAGTAACGCAAATATTATAAGTAGCATAAACATCAACAGACTGAAGCTAGACGACAGAATTTAAAGTAACTATCTATTAAAAGCATTTTTTTATATAGTAACAATGACGAATTTAACTTATTATTGTTAATTCGCTCGAAATCAGCTGAGTACATAATATATTTAATCATCTACAGCTATGCTATCTATATACATATGTATATAATATGTATGTAGTAAAAAGATATAATTTTAATTTTTGTTTTTAATTCAACTTCGTCTATGTACGTAAAATATTGTTTTAAAATTTTTTATTTACATTTATGTTAACTAATTGAAAAATTCCGACATTTACTTCCCGGCTCGTGTCTCTTGATGAATTAAAAAAAAAAAGCTTTAAATTTTTTTATTCTAAATACCTTCATTAGCGGTTTATCATTAGATAATAACAGTGATTCACTGTTTTTATAACATCTATCGCTTTACACTCAAACACTTTTTTGTTGTTGTGTATCATATTAAGAGCGATAATCGTATTCATAGTATTATTAATGTACATATATGTATATGTATATATATTAAAATAATACTATGTGTTTGCATCTTGACATAACAAAAGTATTCTGACAAAATATTTCTGTCAACCACTGTGTGCATAGTTAGCAAATTAAATTTATGACGAACAGAGGAGAACAGTTCACTGAGAATATTGTTTTCTTTCTTTCAAAAAAGTTTTCTCCCATCGTCATTTTACGGCAATTTTGATTTTCAAATTTTTTCATCACCAAACTTACTTCATATTTAAAATAATATAGAATAAAATAAATGTTTATAAAAAACTACGTTTGGCGGACTAAAAGAAAGAAAATTATTCTTTTCTATCCTTAAACCATGCAATTCTTCTCATCGTAAATTAAAATATTTTATTTTAAAACTAAAAACTTATTATTCCATAATAATTCAATTCGATTAATTTCGAAGTTGTATGACAGCTTCCACTACAAATCAAGGAATTTGAGTTTTATCAAATATAATAACACTCGTAAAATTTCCGCTTGTTCGAAATCTAAATAATATAGCTTTTATATTTTCTGAGAAAGTTTTGAAAACTGCAATCCGAACCACTGCTCCGATCATATTCAATTCAAATATAATTCTGGCATTTACTATGATAAATCATGTAACAAAATTCAAATACCTTAGCTCATTTTGTTTCTGAAGTTACTGCTGGAGTGGTCAGGCGGATGGACGGCTATAGGTTAAATGGACTCAGAATTCAACGCCGATCAAAAACTTTATTTAAGCCTATATCTCTCATATGAGTCTATATCTATCTATATTTTTCGAATATAGGTTTGTACGGGTATAAAAATGCAGATAAATGAAACATGGAAATCGAAAATCGTTTTAGAAACATTCACCTTAAATATAGTTTTTATAAAAACACAAATATGTTAACTGGTTATGTGCTAGCGTAATATTTGAAATGACTTGTTGTAATTAATAAAAACTTTGTCTGTCAAATTTAATTTTAATTGTTTTAAAAAATTTATAAAATAATTTTTATAATTTATTTATACGAGTATAGTATGCCTAGCCCTGTTGGAAAAAAATATGAACTATAAAAATCGAAAAATCATTTTTCTTTTACAGTGAAAACTAAATCTATTTGAAAAAGTTAGTAACCTTGTGTTTTAATTATCTACTAATAATAATTATAACGTTTTTTTATCAGTTACCTGGTCGTATTTTTTCTTCACTCTCAAATATTACAGAAAACGATAAAAAAATTATAAAAAAATAGTAAAACATTAATTTGCTTTTTGACTGATAAGCTCTTTTGAAATACCCTTATACAACAAAAAAATTACATTTGTTATGTTTTTTATTTCTACTTTCTAGAACTCAAACTATTTCAATTTAAGTAAAAGTATGTTTTCAGTATTAATTGTAAGGTGATATCGTATGCAATTTTTTTTGAACGCTTTTTATTAAATTTTGTTTGTTCATTAAAAATAAATTTAAAGAAGTAAGGGGAATTAAAATACGATTGAACATAAAAGAAATTAAGAAATTTGTTGAAATTTTTTAATTTTAAACCTAAGAAGAAACAATTCGTTTTCTAGTTATTTTTGTCATGCTATGCACATAATTCTAATTAAGTTTTATAATAAATCTATTTAATAATTATTTTTTTATAATTTCTTTTTTTATTTTTGTATAATTTTAGAAGTTATAATGGACAAGCAAGTTGTTTGGGCCCGAGACCCTATAGAAGGTTATATAAAAGCTCGGATATCTGAAATTGGTAATAATGAATTTGAAGTGACACCATTAGATTCAAAATATTCGAAACGTCAGTGTCATATTGATGATATTTATCCATCATGTGAGTTAATTGAGGATCGTGATGATAATTGTAAGTATTTTAACTTTGTTCAATTATAAAATTAAAGCGGTTGTGAAATATAAATGCATGAAATACTTCAACATATGTCTACAGTTGTTTACATATTAATTTTATAACTTTTCTTAGTTAATAAAAAATTATTAGTAAATACTTAAGTAGTAATCCCTGGACTGTTGTTTTTTAGTATTAATTTAATTTTGTGATCCGATGACTTTCAACAACCTTCCTTATAATTGAAAAAAATTTATGTATGCATAACATGTATCTGTTAAAAATTCGTCACAACTCGGTTTAGAGGATAAAAAAACTTCTATAATATTAGCATTGATGGCTGATAACATTATTTGAATTTTAAATTTTCCAAATTAGAACAGTTGGAAAAATACCTACATATGTATACATAACATATAAATTTTCTTTCTTTTGGTTTTAAAGGTCGAATCCAAAAAATTTTCAGTTTTATAGAAAATACCTCGCTCTAGTTGTTTTTATAATTGTTCAACTTCATGCTCAACCCTTTTTTTTTTTGGAATGAAATTAATAACATAGGTGTACGAACATGAAGCGTAAATATTTTTTCATGTAAAAAAAGTTAATAACTGTTTATTCCGTATGTGTACAATATCTATTCTTAATGAAAAATATTATGTAGAATAGCAATTTAATGATAAATAATCATATTATAGACCATGAATTTTCCACACTCTCGCATATAAGCGAATTTAATTGTTGTAAAGAACATAGGATTTTTTTGAAATAATTAGTATTCTAATTTTATAACTTAAAATAAAACCTATGCTCTGATTATTTAATGCCTTTGGTGTGTCATCAATTAAATATAGTATGTGCACCTCACTGTCTAATTAGAAAATTAAACAATGACAAAAATCACAATATAAAAATGCAACAATATATGCGAAATAAGAAAAATCACAAAATATTTTTAATTTTTTTTGCGATATGGTATAACACTTCATTGCGTTTTCAAAGATTCTTAAATTTTGATTCATTTTCACATTCAACTTTTGCATGTTTATTATTACATAAGAATATCATAGGGTTGGGCAGGAGCCAGGTGAGAGTTCTCACTGGCATCTTGATGTGGGAAATACTGTGGAACTTCATACTCATTCCGGTGAAACACTTCCTAACAGATCCTAATATGATGGTCGGCAATTTTACTTACAATCTGCAACATTCGTTTACTATAAATGTAAAAAAAAGTATGCTATCTGATTATCCCCTCCTTAATATTTGCTTATGCGTAAATTGATCTGGACTCTTTTTTTGGACTATTATTTTTCTTCTTGATTTATGCAAAATAATAGAAACATATACACGTTACGGTATTGTAGGGGTATTATGCACATAGACATAAGTGAAATTATATTTATTTTATAGTTGTTATGTCTTTAGAAATTGAAAGTATTTTAGTATATTACATGATAAAAAAATCAAAAACTATATGTATACAAGTGAAAAAAAATGATAATTTGCTTATTTCACATTCACATTCTTATTAATCCGCGTTTGTCTTCTCGACTATATTCATCGTAAAATTTCCACAAAAGTATGAAAGTCTTGATCAGTTACTTTTGCCGCTCCATTTTTTATAACAGTAACTACAAAAATAAAAGTTGCATGTTGATATCGTACAAAATCATTAACCCATACAAAAGTTATTAACGTGTCTATATAGTATTACAAAATATTAGTAATTAAAGTTAAGAGTAAAATAATTTTATTTGCAAAAAGTTTTTTGAATCATGAGGCATTATTTAATGTGATCCCCACTCTCTGAGGTTTGGTTAGCGTTCCGAATTAAATTATTCAATAAAAATGAAAAGACTTGTATCAATCATTTATTTTCAAAATAATTTTTATATCTACTGAAATAGTTGTATGTTTGTAGGTGAACTTATGCTGCTAAATGAGGCTACATTTCTGGATAATTTAAAGACACGCTATTACAAAGACAAAATTTATGTAAGTATTGCTGCTTTTCCAATAAAATTTCTTGTGGGAACTTATAATTTTACTTCTTTCAGACATACGTGGCAAATATTTTAATTGCAGTAAATCCTTATAGAGAAATTAAGGATTTATATTCGTCCGCTACAATTAAAAAATATAGTGGTCGATCACTGGGTGAACTACCACCTCATGTATTTGCTATAGGTACCAAAATGCTACGATATAACAATTTTTGAAATATATACTAAAATTTTGTTTTACTTTAAGCCGATAAGGCAATTCGTGATATGAGAGTACTGAAATCATCTCAATCAATCATTGTCTCTGGTGAATCGGGTGCAGGAAAAACAGAATCAACAAAGTATTTATTGAAATATTTATGTCATTCACATGACGGAGCTGGTCCAATTGAACAAAAAATTTTGGACGGTAAGAAAGAAAGAGAATAATTGCTTTTGGAATTTGTCCAAATAGTAGTGAATAAATTTTAGTGACAAAAAATTAAAAGACAAAAACAAATATTTAATTATTTTTTTTATTTTTAGCTAATCCCGTTTTAGAAGCATTTGGAAATGCTAAAACAACTCGCAACAATAACAGCTCCAGATTTGGAAAATTTATAGAAGTACATTATGATACTAAATATCAATTGGTTGGAGGTTATATATCACACTATTTGCTTGAAAAAAGCAGGATTTGCTCACAAACATCAGAAGAAAGAAATTATCATGTTTTTTATATGTTATTGGCTGGAGCCCCTCAACAGTTACGTGATAAGTTAGGATTAGGAAAACCTGATGATTACAGGGTAAAAAGAAATATATAAAAATTACAAATTTAAAATTTTAATTTGTATTAACAGTATTTGTGTGGTTGTACCCAATATTTTCTCAATAATCAAACTGAAAAACAAGTACCACAAGCTCAAAAATCACGAGAACATTCCCAAAAAGGATGTTTAAAGGATCCAATATTAGACGATTATCAAGACTTCCAAACCTTAGATAAAGCTTTGGCATACATGGGTTTATCAGAAAATGATAAATTTGGAATTTATGCTTTAGTTGCTGCTGTTCTTCATTTGGGTAATATTTCGTTTGAAGATCTTCCAGATGATGTTCGTGGCGGTTGTCAAGTTTCGGAAAAGTCTGAAAAGTCTTTAGTAATGACAGCTAAATTACTGGGTGTCGATGATTATGAATTAAGACAAGCATTAGTTTCTAGAGTGATGCAAAGTAAGGGTGGCGGTTTCAAAGGAACAGTTATTATGTAACTTAAATATATTTAATGCATTTAAGCAAAACTTATTGATTGTTAAAATCATTAAAAATTTTTATTTTTATTTAAGGGTTCCATTAAAGATTTATGAAGCCAACAATGCGCGTGACGCTTTAGCGAAAGCTATTTATAGTAGATTATTTGATCGTGTTGTATCAATTATAAATCAAAGTATACCATTTAAGGCTTCTAATTTTTATATAGGAGTCTTGGATATAGCCGGTTTTGAATATTTTACCGTTAATTCTTTTGAGCAGTTTTGTATTAACTATTGCAATGAAAAATTGCAAAAATTTTTTAATGACAATATTTTAAAAAATGAACAAGAGCTGTATAAACGTGAAGGATTGAATGTTCCAGAAATTAAGTTTACAGATAATCAAGACATTATTGATTTAATAGAATCAAAAGCTAATGGTATATACACTTTATTGGATGAGGAATCTAAACTGCCAAAGCCCTCAGCAATGCATTTTACTTCAGAGGTACATAAAGAATGGCATGGTCATTTTAGACTTGGTTTTCCAAGATCTTCTCGACTTAAAGCGCACAGAACGTTGACGGATGATGAAGGATTCTTAGTACGGCATTTCGCGGGAGCTGTTTGTTATAAGACCGTAAGTTTCGAATTGAGAGTAACAAAAAATGTAAAATATTACTTTTTAAATTACGTATTTTAATTTTAGGAACAATTTATAGAAAAGAATAATGATGCTTTACATTATTCGCTTGAAGGCTTAGTGCAAGAGTGTGGAAATCCGCTTTTGAAGTCTCTATTTTCTAAAGGTAGTACTGCTGCTAGGGGTAAACTGAATTTTATATCGGTTGGTTCTAAATTTAAAACACAGTTGGCTGAACTAATGGAAAAATTAGAAAAAAATGTAACTAATAATTATTTTTTTTTTTAAATTTTTTAAGTAATTTGTTGATTTTAGGGTACCAATTTTATACGCTGTATAAAACCGAATAGCAAAATGATAGATAAAAGCTTCGAAGGGGGTTTATCATTGGCTCAACTCAAATGTTCCGGTACCATTTCCGTGTTAGAACTGATGGAATATGGCTATCCGTCAAGAGTTCCGTTTGCCGACTTATATAATATGTATAAATCATTTTTGCCCCCCGAATTATCCAAACTGCCAGCTAGGACATTTTGTGAAGCTATGTTACATGCACTAAAATTGAGCAGCCGTGATTTTAAATTTGGTATCACGAGAGTATTTTTTCGTCCTGGCAAATTTGTCGAATTTGACCGTATTATGAAATCAGACCCTGAAAATTTGAGGGCAATAGTGTTTGCTGTCAAAAAATGGTTAATTCGTTCAAGATGGGTTAAGTCAGCGTTGGCTGCCGTTTGCGTGATCAAAAGTAAAAAAATTATTTCAAATAACATTACATTTTAGTTAAATATTTTTATAATTTAAGTTAAAAATCGCATGATTTATAGAAGCAAATGCATTCTAGTAATGCAAAAAATTATCAGAGGTTATTTAGCTAGGAAAAAACACCAACCAAGAATTAATGGTGTAATTAAAATAAAAAATATGAAAAACAATATTTGTAAGACTTTAGAAATAGCAAATCAATTGAAAAGTGGAAAAGACAGCATCCTAAAAGAAGTTAAAAATATTGAGTCAAAAATTGATGCTGCTGTACGAACTATTAAAGTAAATTTATTAAAAATTCGTTTTTTTAATCAATATAAAGAACTTATTTTATTTTAGGCTAACAAAAATATTAGACCTCAAGAAATTGACGATATTTTAAATAATACAAACTCGGAAATTAATAATTTGACAAAAAATCTAAACTTAAAGTTGCAGGTACTTTACGTAATCAAGCTTTTCAATTATTTTACAATCTTATTATAAATTTTTATAGGAACAACGTCAGGCTGAAGAACAGGAACGTTTACGTAAAATTCAAGCGGCCCTTGAAGCTGAAAGAAGAGCTCGTGAGGAAGAAGAAAGGAAAAAGAAAGAAGAAGAGGAGATCAGGCGACTGTAAAATATACAAGATATTACTTGATGTGTTTTACATATCTTAATGTTTTATTTTAGGAAAGCTGAAATGGAAACTCGCCGGAAAGCGGAAGAAATTGAACGTTTAAAACAAGAAGAAGAAGATCGCAAGGCAGCTTTAATGCTTCAAGCTCAATTAGAACAGGAAGCCCAAGAAGATGTAAAATACCGCCAACAATTAGAACAAGAGCGCCGCGACCATGAACTAGCATTAAGACTTGCAACAGAATCTAACAGCCAAGTTGAAGATAGCCCACCAATTATTAGAAAGTATGACACGTTTTGTATTTATTTTAAATGTGAATATTTTTTTTAAAGCAAACTGAGTTGTAGAATTTCAAAATCAAGAAAAAGCGTGTACATGTATATAAATTTAAAAAAACAAAATCGAAATTAATAAGAGTACCTCAGTTTTGCTTAAGATTTTATATTTTCTTTATTTAAGATTACTCTTATAAACTTTTTTGTGACGTCTTTGGATAAAGTTTTTTTTATTATAAGGCTAAGAAACAAATATTTCCAATGAATTTATATTTACTCAAAGTTAGTTTAGCTAAATAATTGATTTAAAATAGGCGACAGAATTAATCATATGAAAATGATATCAGGATTCGCTGCAAGAATTAAATAAACAAATTCTCACAAATTTAAATAAAAGATATTTGTATTTTTATATACAAAACATATGAATTGCTGATGTAACCTTCTTAAATTCTGTTTTTGTATTTTAAATATTTTTTCACAAATTATTAAAAATTATGAGATCGCATTATAGAATTCTTGCAACGAATTCTGAAGTCAATTAAGTCTTGTATAAAATCAAATTTTAATTTTCAGTGATTAATGTAATTCTCATTATTCTTATTTTTTCCTTTTTTTAATTTTATAATTTTTCTATATTTCATTTGTAAATTTGTTTTTTTCATTTCATTAAAAAAATATATATTCTATAAAAATTTTACACTAGTGGAACAACTGAAGCATCGACAACTGCACATAAGCTCATCAGGTACAACATGAAACAATTTATTTTAGTGAAATATTATTTTTCTACATACCTTATTCTTTATATTTTGTATATCAAGTTCAAAATTAATAACACAATGTTGCACTTATAGTCAAAAAATTTTAAAAAGAATCAAAGAAGAAAATTTGAAGGCAGAAGATTTTTGTATTAAATACCAAGGTTTTATTTTTTAATTTGTTTTCATGTTAAATAATTAATTCATAACTATTGAGATTAATTACATGAAATCTCTTTAATAATTGCGACATTGTGTTGTAAATTTTGATAATTTGGAATTTGTTCATTATAAAGCTTTGTTTTTCAAACTATTTTTTTTATCCAATACTAACGCTAGCTAGCATTCTTCAATTTTGTTTAAGATCTTATTTGTTTTTCGAATTACGGAATTAAAAAGAAAAATAAAATAAAGAGATAGGAGTAAATTGACTGTAATAAAATAAAATTTTGTAGTTAGGGTTCACCTACTTCCCTGTAAGCATATTATTAACAAAAATTAGTAATATTATTAGACTAAGAATTGATTGATTAATTAGATAATAGAAATGGAATGTGTGAATTACCAAAAATTAAAATAGAAATATTTTTTTACTAATTTTTCAGTATTGCAAGAGGTGTGAATATGCTTGCATCTCGATTTAATTCAATGGGAAGGTTAGTTTTGTAAATTCAAAAAACAAAAAAAAATCGAATTTGAAATATATGCATAAGTTGATATTATTACTATTTTAAGCATGTGTTATTTTATTTATTTTTATTAAATTAACTATGTTATATTTTTGTTTATACTTGACGAGATGAACAATTAAAATTTCTTAGTTTCATTCATAATAATGTTTTAATTTTGGAAAATTTTCTATTTTCCAAGAAAATTTCCCAAGATTGTCAATAATTCCGGTAAGAATTAACGTAAAATAAAAGAAATTTATTAAAAATTTTCTCGCCATATGTAGATAATAGTTGACTAATATTTGATATGATAAATTCATAGTGATTTGCACTAATGATTAATTTTCTGGTTTTTTGTTTTACCTTACCTGCATACACATTAATTTTTATATGAAATTTGAAAATTTCATATAAAAAATTTACTAACATTTTATAATTGTAGGGAGGCAGTAAAGTTTCAAATTATTTTGAAGTTCTTGCTAAAATTTTATTCCTTTAAAAATTGAAATTTTATTTCATTTTAAATTCTCAAGAAGCTTTTAGCTTTTTAAGATTGTCGCCTATCGGTCAGTGTACATATACCAAGGAAGAATGGTATGATTGTTCTAATTATTTAAAAAATTGCTACGCAAAATTTTCTTGAATTAATTTTTCTATACCTGCCAGAATACAATAGGGGTGCTCCCAACACAAAAGATTACTAGTTATAGATTTTTTGCCATAAATTCTTAGAAAATTTACTATAATGAGCAATAAAAAGTCGAAAAAAGATAAGCGTATTGGTGAAAAATTTTTGAGTTAAGAAGTAAAAACAGTTTTACAAAAAGCAAAAATATAGAAATATCAAGAAAATTTATTATTATTAGATTTATTAGAAAATACTTTCAATTATTAATTAAAAATGTTGATTTAAAAATCAGTTTTTACTTTAATAAAAAAAAAAGTTATTTTTATATTAGAAATTTTAAAGTTATCATTAATTTAGTTTGTTCAGTTATGCAGTTTTCATTACTGAACAAATTAATTTGTAACTCAATGTTGAGTTTACTTATCTTTATCATAATCAAGCATAAATTTTTTTCCAGTGATTTTGTTGGTAAGCTAAGCATGTTTGCAGCTGGACCAACATTTAATCAGATCAAACCATCTCAATCGTGAGTAAAATTTGGAGATGAAACATATTGTAGATATGTAAAGTAGTACAGCTTGGATTTTTTTCTGTTTTCTGCTATATTTTTATTTGCTTTGTATATTAATTATTTCTCGATTTTGTAAAAAATCTATTTAAACAGTTTTTATTATTGACAAAGTGTATATTTGTAAATACAGAACTCGATAGGTATTCAAAAAAAAAATATTCCTTCATTTCACCGATGAATATAATTTTACAAAAAGATGTATTGAAGCTTTTCAAAGAGTATAATGTTATTCACTTTAATATTAATTATGTACTTAAATTATATTTAGGAACCCTGCAAATTGATATTAATTTTGACGTTTTCATTTTGTTAAAAGTTTTAATATGCATGCTTTAAATTATTTACTAAACATAAAATTATTAAAATGTGCTTGTAATACTTATTAAATATGTAACTACATTTACATGTATTTGTAATGCTTGTTGCTTCTCCTTTTTTAAAATAACTATTATTTCTATAATAATTTATTTCTTTACGGCGATCTTATATAGATCTGAAAATGTACGAGCTCAACAAGCACTCATGGGCAAACAAAAATACGATTTATCAAAATGGAAGTATTCAGAACTTCGTGATGCTATTAATACATCGTGTGATATTGAATTGCTTGAGGTAAATTTGTATTGAATTGTTTTTTCAAATGTAAATTAAAATTGAAAATGCTTATCATCAAGGCATGCCGGCATGAATTTCATAGGCGTTTGAAAGTATATCACGCATGGAAAGCTAAGAATCGTAAACGTACAACAATGGATGAAAATGAAAGAGCACCTAAAAGCGTAATGGAAGCTGGTAACATTCCTTTTCGTAAGGCATAAAAAATTATAAAGATCATAATTACTTTTGTTTTTTTTAATTAATAGCAATCAAAGGTCCTCCACTTGCTCAACAGAAACACGAAATAACTTCAGCGCAACATAGATATTTCCGCATTCCGTTTATGAGAGCCAATTGCACTGATAATAGTAAATCTCTTTTGTTTAAACAATAGTAATAAAATTTCATTAAAATTTTTTTTAGCTAAACGTGGTTTATGGTATGCGCATTTTGATGGCCAATATGTGGCACGACAAATGGAACTACATGCTGATAAGCCTCCAATTTTATTAGTTGCAGGTAAAAACTTATTTAGTTTAGTTATTTATCGGGTATTGTTAATAATCTTTCTATGATATTTGCTGCAACTATAATTATGTAACTTTAAATTTTTAAATTCATTTGTTATTTTTTTTTAATTTTCAGGGAAAGATGACATGCAAATGTGTGAACTTAGTCTTGAAGAAACTGGTTTGACAAGAAAACGTGGTGCTGAAATATTAGAACACGAATTTAATCGTGAGTGGGATCGAAATGGTGGTAAACCATATAAAAAACTTGGTGCTAATAATAATAATTAAGAAATTTTATAAACTATATACATATATATTAAACGAGAAAAACTGTTGCAGAAAATTTTTAAAATTATATGAAAAAATAATTTTCTATTCTATTAAAAATTTTCTGACTGAAACTAAATTTTTATTAAAATATTTTGGAACAAATTATATATGTTCAAATGAAGATGTGCCTTTTTATTTAAAAATTTTACTTTATTAAATGCAAATATTATATGATTATTAAATTAGTATTTACAAAATTTTTCTTATTCAGTTTATTAACATTTATCATTTTCGTATCATAAAATTGAGACAAAATTAAAAAAGTAACCCAAGCTTCTTTACCTAATAAAATTGAATTTTAATACACTTTAAAATTTCTGAAAAAAAAAATTAAATGAATGTATAGTAAATTAACAATTTTCTTAACTGGAAAATTGTTTAAACAATAATTTGAATCACCGCAATATTTTAAATTTAATTCATAATTATAAACCATTTGTAAGATTAATAAAAATATATGTAGACATATTTAAAAGGCAAAAATTAAAATATTTACATTAAAAATCTTTTATTATATTTTTAAAGTGCTTTGATTTCTATATTTATATTAGCAATTATACTATTTCAAATAATTCCATGAAAGGCTTCCTAACGTATGTCTTAGAGAATCCCAATTCGAAGACATCTTATACTTAAGTTTTTCTTTTTTTTTTTTAAATTTTTTCCCTAGGATTATTATATGAGTGCATTAAAAATGGTATTCAATTCCTTTAAAAAAAAAATAAACTTAAAATGAAAATCGTATTTTAAACCATATGTACAATTACATAAAATATTTCTATTTAATTAAATAGTATTTATATTATTTGTTTTAAATACATTAAATATTCATGTTTTATAGATTTGAAGTAATTTAAATAAAAATTTAAAAAGTATTTAATGAAATCTTGAAATCCAATAAAGTAAATTTAGTAGATTTTGAAATCTATCAAAAACACATTAGTATATAACTCTTAAAATTTAATTACCAGAACGAGAAAAAAAGTTAGACATGAAAAAATTTATTTAAGTTAAAATATTATCTGTTGCATTTGTAGTTAGTAACAAAAGAAATCTGATTATAACTTCAAAATTTATATATAAAGTTAATTTATAATATTAATCTCGTTCTCTATTAAACGTTAAATTCTCATCAAACAAAAATATTTTGTAATTTTTTAAAAAAAAATAATATTCGTAATAGATAAAAATAATATTGTTATGTATAAATTTAAATGAAAACTGTGTATAGTAATACGATAGTATTGAAGTATGAAAAAAACATAATGAGTTTAAAAAATCAAATATCTTTTACATACCATATTATATACTTTAGACTTTAATGTTGTAATTTAATAAATTTAAGTTTGAAATATACAATATATCTAATACGTTCTTTAGAATATAAAATAAAACGATTTTAGACTATGCATTATTCTTGTGTTTGATTTAAGGTATCAAAATAGAATTTATTTTGATAAATAACGTAAATAACGTAACAGTTTTACACAATAGGCCAATTCTCATCTTAAAAACTTTTGTGATTCACGAAATTTTACATTTTGTGTTCAGTACAAGTTAAAAGCAACTTAAATTATAAAAGGACCGTCATAAAATTTAAAAAAAGTACAAGAGGCAAAAAGTACAAGAGGGTTTTCATTTCTTTATTTAAAATGAAAATTTAATATAGCGAAATTTATATGCTTAATATAAAATTTAAACTACGGGTTGAGAATATTTATTTCAGTTAAATTATAAGACAGTTTCTGAAAATTGAGTCATAACTCAGATGTTAATATAAAGCATGCTCGTGAATCAAAACTACAAAACCTTCAAATTTAGCATATTCGATAAATATTACAAGAGAAGCAAACTCGAAGATCGTAGCACGTTTAAATTTGTAAAGCATTTTTAAAGATTATTTTTAAATGCTGCTAAAATAATTTAAGTTTGAAAAACTAACATAGAATGTAAGATATTAAATCTGTAATATTGCAAAAAAATATTTTTAAGATTTAAGTTAGAACTTTAAGGGAATCTTAAAATTTCATAATAAATTTTCAAATATAATTATGACAGATAACGTGTATACATATATATTCCAATTATACACTTTTGAAAAAGAGAAAAATTGCAACCAAATTACAACAGAGTTATAAAACTATTTTCAACAGATGGGAGCAAAAAAACTCTTTCTTTCTTGAAAGTTTACATTTTTATCAGCACATAAAATTTCTATTTAATATTTTGTCTGAAACATTATTTTAATCATATATGTACATATATTCTATAAACTATAGCATATTTAGATTATAATTTTCTAATTAAACGCATATATAATTTAAAATTTATTTCCCAAAGCAAAAGCTTTTTTCATTTATTTTGAATCGGAAGTAATAATTAGATGTGTCATGGTGCGAAAAATTGTCATTTTTTTTACTTAAAAGTAATACTGGTAAATTCTAACAAAAAGTACATTATTACTAGTACTTTCTTTTTTTGTGAGATGAAAGTTATAATTAAATTAAATATTGGAAATTGAATTGAAGTTAGTTCAATTTGTAACCTGAAAAGAGAATACAATCTCGGAAATATTATTTCGTCACATAATTTAATTAAAGTTTTATGTTTTTTATTTTTTTATTTAAGTAAAATGATCAATCGGACATCATTTATTTTAATATTTTTTATTATGGTAGTTTGCTTGAACTTTTTCGATTTTAAAACTTTGAAAGTCAGAAATTTTATTTTATCTTTAGGTAAACGTGAGCATGACTCCGGATGGACTCTCATCGGTTTGGAAAAAATTACAAAGAGATCCATGCTCTGAGAATGGGTAAATAAAATATTTATATAAATACAGTTACGTTAAATTATACATACGTATGTTATGTTGGCAAATATTGAGAAATATTTGCATCTTATAAAAGGTTAAAAATATATAGAACTAGTTCAGGAAAAAAGTGCAAGGAGTAATATGCATATGCATAACTACATACTTGCATTAAATAAGTTAATATTCTTTTTTTATTACAGCTACAAGCTTTTATCGTTATTAAATCTTCTATGTAATACAACACAAGTAACAAATTTGACTACCCGTGATGCATGTTATGGTTGCTTTTTTCGTGCAGGCAACCAGCCAAGTAACTTTTAATTAATTTAATTTTAATAAAAACATTTTAAGATATTTATCGACTTTAAGCTGGTCCATCTCAACTTCAAGCTCTAAATGATTGTGCAAACCTTTATATAAATGGAACAGCATATTCAACATGTGCTGTAAATTTAAATGTAATGTTTTTTTAAATATCAACTACAAAAATTAACTAACATTATACAATACATCTACATCTCATTTGTAGCTTATTGTAAATGGAACAATTCCGACACAAGCACCAACAACGGTCTGCTATAGTGGTTATTGTGAGTTTGTTCGTTGTGTCAGACGAATAAATGCTAATATTTTGGTAAGTTCAAAATTAAAAATTTTTGCAGTTTAGACATGTGCATGCTCAATATTAACACAACTTAAAATGAATTATAGATCAGTGGATGTATTCAAGAGAATGTTGGCCGATTTGACTTAACTCAACCACTACCAAGAGTTTATTTTTACAGCAATGTTACTGCATGCATACTGGCACGTGCTAGGTGTAATCCATATAATCCAGTTTCTGGAATCCTACAACAACCAAATACAGCGCAATATGGTGGAAGTATTTTTGGTTATGAAATTTTTACTCCAGTACCAAATAATGCCTTACAAATTTCAGCATATGGAGATCTTAGGATAATCACTTTTCCTAATAACATTGGTATTGGAGATTTGTTTTGTTCACGTTCCCAATCCTTAAATCAAGCCCCATATAATAGTTTAACATGTTAGTTAAAATTTTCAAAATTTTTTTAGTTTAGTTCTTAAAGTAACTTTTTAATTATAATATTTATATAAGATTGTAATATTTTATTTATTTATTAAAATTTGGTGGAAAAAAAAAATATTTTGTTAGAATCATTTTTAATCAATGATATTCACAGTTTATGAATTAAACTCTTGTTAACTCAAATAAATTTGAATATTTATAATTGTTATTTTTCCATTAGACAATGTAATCCAATAAATTCTTCACACCGTATTAACATCGATTTAATTACATTTTTTATTTTTTATTTTCCAACTTTAGTCACAATTTAACCAATTATCACTATAATCTCCTAATTGGGTTGAAATTGGTGTTACGATATAATATGTAAGTGTTCATACACATTTTTATATTTTAATTTGCGATTGCTTGTTTTATATTTTTCATCATTTTTGAATATTTTAAAGAATTCAAAACAAAATGATAGTTGTGTAAGTTTAATATATTAAACTTAAAATTTCATTATTTGAATTTCGCTTATATACTATTTGGTAATTTTTATCAGTTAGTGCAATTTTCTGTAATCATTTTAATTTTGGAATTTAAAAATTTAGTTTATGCAACCAAATACTTGTTTTATAGCTCAGTGTTAAAACGTTAGTTCTTAAATATTGCTCAATGTTTCTGTTTGCATTCTAAAAAAACCCTTTTGTCAAATAGCAAATGATTCAAAGGTTATGAAGCGAGATGCTAAGTATAAATACTTAAATTTTTAACCTGATTGAGCTTCAATAAAAGTTTCAGTAAACTAAATATTTATGAACTCCTTTAAATAATACTATCTGAAAAATTTATTGTGAATTTATTTCTTTATTCAAAATATGTGTGTATGTATATCATTGTTAATTTCTTTTAGTATTATAAATATAGGGCTACGCTTTTTCTAGTGTGTGCTTTGAAATTAGGTAAATTATATGTAAATTTTATGTTTTAAACAAATTGCCCACAAATTTTTAAGAATTCAAACCGATACACATAAATTTATTTTAGGTTAAAATTATTAACTTCTACTAGATAAATTTATTTATATTAAGATTAATTCGAGATAAATGTATAGTAATTTAGTAGATACACAAATTTTGGTTTATTATAATAAACATGTGTTTTCATTAATTAAAATATATAGTTTATAAATTCACAAGAATATGTACAAAGTTGTATAGCAAGAATAAAATCGTTGTGAATCATTTTTGTTTATTTCCTTTAATTTTAAATAAGTACAATATAATTCAAATTCATGCTTTTCGTCACCTAAATAACACGAACGCTTACATTGTATATTCATCATATTGTATTTGTTGTTATATATACATACGTGTACATTATATGCATAGCATATAGGTACATACGTATTTTGTGAATTGGGTACATAGTTCACAATATTATATATGATCAAATGCAAATAGTAAAACCAATTTCATTTAAAATATTTCATTGTGTTGAGAATTGAAAAATTAAATTAGGTGCAAAAGTACCGAGCAAAAATAAATAATTCTTAAATCATAAATTCCCAAACCATATCCATTTGATTGCATTATATTATGCCTACACATATATTACATATACCGGTCTAAATCTTGATCATGAAATTTGTTTATTTTATTAACATAAACTAAAATATTTTTGACTGCAGAAATATTTTACTTCAAAATTTGACAAATTAGACTTATTATGAAAGAAGTGTTTAATGTGCCATGCAAAATTGAAACACTTGGACCACTACAACTTTCAAAAATGAGTTTTGAAAGTTGTAGTTGTTTCAGAAATAAGTACGGAAACATTTTGTACATTTTTTTTTTATTTTATATTTTAGATTTTTTGTAGTGTTTTATTGAAATTTAAAATTTTCAAAACCTTATTTGGAGCTACTGTTTCATGTAATATCACGTATACCTAGTAAAATTTTTAGTTTTGTGATGACAATATACACATTTTAAAGAAGCGTGTTTTGAAGATGAAATAGTTACTTGTAAAAAATATCTTAAAGACATACTTTTATGTTTATGCATAACGTATATACATAATGTACATTATATTGTATATTTTTGAGTAATTTAATAAATACAATAGATTTGTAAAATAAAATTATAGTTATTTTGAATTGTAATTTATAAATGATAAAGAAAATAAAAGAATAAAACTGAGAATTCGAATAGCTACTTAGACACTATGATTATGGATGGCACCTAACAATAAAATATTTTTATATGCAAAAGTGTAAAAAAATGTGTATGAATATTTTTCTATTTCGTTTTTCTTATAATTTATTATATTTTTAAATTGTACTTTAATAAATTTGTTTACTGTCTCAAACATTTTTACATATAAATTAAGGGAATCTTAAAATAGGAGCACAGGTTAAATTTAAGGCATAAGATTCAATGTAATTTATAGTAATAATAATAAATTTCTCATAAGAAATATGAAGAGTTCTTAACTGAGATGTGCTGTACTGAGACGTGTGATATTAGACATTAGAAAGTTAATTAATTTTCATTTATTGTCGTTATTCATTTAAATTACAGATTAAATCATTACTAATGTAAAATTACGTGTGTGTATAATCAGTGTATAAGTACTATATTTGATTCGGAAAACACGAATTGAATTGAGAGCATGTAAAGAACGATCTAAGCGAACTTTGATCTGCAATAATGTAAAAAACAAATCCGTGCCTATTTTTGTATGAATTTGTATTTACTCTTATATAAGAAACGAAAACTCCGAAGGTATTAATTGCCATTAGAATATTTAGATAATTTTAATTTAAGTAAATATAAGTATGAGTATCCTTACATATATACGCTTACATTTAAATGTATGCAAACATTTTAGTAATCTATGGGTTTTTGTTTATGCACGCTGCGCTAAAAGTTAGAACTAAAATATCTAAGTTGCAGCGTTAAACAGTATGCAAAAACTTTAGCTAAGTTTTTTTTTGTTTATGCAGTCTAAAAATTCTGAAATTTCTAAATAATCATTTGTTCAGAAATGATATTGTTTATGAAATTGTATCCCATAAATAAAGAAATTTTAACAAGATTTGAAGACTTAAAGAAAACTTACTTTAATAACCCTCCAATATCTGAATCTGCCATTTTGAAATTTAAAATTTTTATTTATGAAATTTTAAATTGTATCTGCGATACATTCCTAACATTTCTTTATTGCGGGTTGAATTTCCGAACGACCTATATTTTCAGTGTATATAACGTAAATTTTCGAACGTAATACAAGTAGAACTATTCCAGAACTGAATAAACGAAAATTCTCTCTTTATTTAAATAATATGTATAAGCAATATTTCACATACAGAACTACTTTCACATTGAGATTCACCTTAATAATAAATTAATTATCTTAGTAGACAGGCATATACATACAAGCTTTCCTAATAAAAGTTATTTGCCCTTTTCCCAGGTTAAAACCTACGTTGACATTGTAACATTTATATTCATGCATTTTTGTTTAATATTAATTATATTCATATTTGGTTTGATAAGGAAAATGTAATATTTTCCTACATTAAAACTTAAGTTGTTCGCCATTAATCGGTCATTAATACATCAATTATTTTTATTTATTTCTTTCAAACTATATATGTATGTATACCATAAACAAATTATATTAATTTCATGTTGTTATTAAATAGAAAAAATTCTGCGAAACTATATTGATTGTTTTTCAAATTCTATGATTGCAAAAATTAACAGAAATAACAATGCAATTGACTTAGAATTTTTTTAAATAAATTCGCGTAATAATTTCTCACTGTAAATACATAAAGTAGTTAAAATTAACGTCCTTAACCTATAACCACTTTTTTTAAGTTCAAATATTTGTACATACATACATGATGTTATTTATAGGCACATGCATGTATAACATCCTAATATAATAGACATACATCATAAAATATCGTTGATATATTTACAGATGTACATACATATATCACTTGTTTTCTGCAATACTATATAATATTGCACCTGTTTTATATACTAGATAAACTAAATATTTTCCGAAGAGGATATTTTAATCCCGATTTAAGATGATAACCGTTCTATATTTCTTTAAAGTCCTTTTCTGAATGTTACATTTTTAATTCAATTTAGAAGATATTAAGAGAGAAATTTTTCGCTTCTCTTTTGGTGCTCTTAAAGTAAATTGAAATTTTTTCAAAACTGGAAAGAGAAATTTCATTTATAGAATATATTTATTTATATATGTTTTCTCTTCATTTTGAGATTTTGTCTATACAGTACAGTCAAGTACAGAAAAGTTTTTGTTGCGAAAATATTTTCAAATAAAATTTTGTAAAATAGGTGGCATTAGATTTTTTCAAATTGAAGTTGATTAATAATTTGTTCTAATTTAATTTTTTATAACAAACTATACTGTATGAAATTTAAGTTATAATATAAAATTCATACTTACGTAAGGTTTAAAAATGAGGTATGAAGTTAGTATGGTATTCCTAACGAAGTTTAACGATGAAACTTAGGTTGAGTTCATATTTGCAGTCCTAATTTTGAACTGCAGTTGCAACTTGTTTTTATTCTTCTACTCCTAAATTCTTGAACTACTAAATTCTTGTGCTTTCAGTATTACTTTGTAGTTCTGCAAAATTTTTGATTCAGCTGTGAATTTATTTTTATTTTCACAATATTGGCATAGTCAATAGTCATTTGTTAGTTTTGACTTTGTTACAAATAGTCGTTTTTATAGGAAGAACTATATTTTTTAGTATTCTAATATATCAATGTAATTCTAGGTGACTTAAGTTAGTAAGAGCTGCAAAGATGAACTCAATCTCATTCAAATTATAAATATTAATTAATATTTATAATTTGAATTAAGCCTTAATTTAAAAAAGTGCAACACAAATCGCAAACGAACGATCAGCATAACAGATATCAGTATATTATGACACAAAGTGTTACTCTCAAACACATAATATGAAATCTGGTGCTTGAAAGTTTTTAAAAACTTTATAAAACCTTAAAACAAACTTTATAACATTTTAGTATGCAAAGCGTCGGATATGATGCATTTTGAGAAAATGTGAGAGAAAATGATGACGCTTTTATTTTTTGCATGTTTAAAGTTTTCTCAAGTTTTGTAAAGTAAAATTTAGTGTTAAAACTTTAAGCTGTCAAAACATATGCTCTTCATTATGTATGTATGTGTTGTTTATGTTTGAAAAATATTTTGAAATTTGATATTTTTAGATATTTTGTAAAGTTTTCTAAACATTTTTCAGCTTTTCCGTCTGGTTTATTTTTTTTTTAATCAGATTGTTTTCTTATCGAGAAGGGATTAGTGCTACCAATTCTTTTTGGCTCACTTTGCCTTTAATTAAAAAACACCCATTTTTTTCTTTTCCAAACCCTATTTTTTCCCATATAATTTCTCTTTAAGAGATCTTTTATTTATACATATACATCTAGCATTGTACTTAAAAAAAATACGTATTTATTGAGTTAAAAAATATTGCACTTATTCAATTGACAGTAACTTTCAAATTGTGATATAAGAAATACTATATCGGTTTAAGAGCCTCAAAATAAATAATAGGCCTTTCTATTTTTTGATCAAATGCCAAAATTTGGTCAAAAATAAAAAAGAAATTAAAATAACTAAATTAAAGAAGATAAATTTTCAATGGAATTTTCCACGATTTTTTGCCTTTTTCCCTTAAAGGCTTTAAAAATCCCTCAAAATGGAATATTTCCCACGATTTGACAAAACTGAATGACGTTACTCAGTTTTAAAGTTTTTTCAAGTTTTATACAAGACAGATCAGAACCAGACTTATAAGTTCAACTTCAATAAATTAAATTTTTTTGAAAAAATAATTTTTAGCAACACAATTTTCTCAATTTCTAAAAATAAAAAAAAAAGATTCTCTTAAGAAACAAAACAAAGCTCACATATTTAACAAAAATTATTAGTTTGTTATTGTTTATAATTATTACGCTATTATACATCCCTAACATTGATAATATGTACATACTTTTATTTCAAAGTTTTTGTCGTACTCTCACAAAATGTATGTTTTCAAATTTAAAATCAAAAATTATATTAAAAAAAAAATAAATAAAGAGAATATGTACTCTCTTTATAAGACTACAATAAAACATGAACACTGAACATACTTTAAAGTGAGTTTTTATTTTTGTTGAATTGATTGTAATTCGAGTTTTGTATATAAAAAGCTTCAATTTTAATCATTTGGGCTTAGTATTTAAAATATCACGCTTAAGTGCTGATGTTAGGCTAAATTAAAAATATATTTATTAAAAATTTAAAAAAATAGTGATAATATTGCATTTCTGTTTTCGAGTAGTGTACATAGTAAATAATTATTTGAGATAAAATTGTTGTGCTTTAATATTTGAGATACCTTTTTATTTTTAATTATTATTGTTATACTTATTTTGAGTTTCGAAACGTGCGTTCGGTAGAAATTAATAAATACTTTATTGTGAACATTGTGAATAAAAAATTAAAACGAGTTTTTGGAATTAATTAAATATTTAAGTATTTAAGATAAAAAAAAAAAACAAACAAATTTTCAAGAATTTTCTAAAAGCAAGAAAATAATTTTTTTCACGAGCATATCTAAATAATCAGTTTTTAATTGAAGTTTCGTTTCAAAAAATTTCTTATATAATTAAATTAATTTAAAGATTTGTGAAAGAGTAACAATGTATTCAGTTCCATTCTTTGTGATGATTTTATTTATTTCTGTTGGTAAGTTGAAATTTTTTATCTTTTAAATATTTTTATCTTTCATTCAAAAATTTATTTATAAAGTAAAATTGGTAATTTTTACCTTAAATTTCTATAAATTTTCGTTATCTATATATAAGTATATGAATTAATCAATTAAACACTTTGATAACACTATCAAAATAAATAAATAGAAACATTTTTCTTCATCGATCAAAGTCTTTGGCTGGTAAATCACAATATATACATACATATACAGGGTGTTTGGCATAAGGTGGTAAATAATTTCAGAGGTCGTTTTCGTGGGAAAGAGGTCGTTTTCGAGTTACAGCCTCTTGGAAAAAAGGTGCCACATTTTTCTTGCATATAAATAAACGGTTATAACTTCGAAATCACGCAACATGGAGTAAAAAACTCGAAATTTCGCAGAAATTTGTTTTATTATTCTTCATTTTTTTCAATTTTTTTTGAAGTGGTACAATAAATTCTAAAGGTTAACCAATATAACACTTTGCTCTATCTCTCATAGTTTTGCCAGTAAAACGTGTTAAATGTATTTAAAAAGCACAAATGCAGAGAATAGCAGAGAAGGAGTTGCGATAAATGTTTCACAAGATATTTCATAAATTTTTTGTTTCATAAATGCGAATACTTGTAGAGTTTTCAGATTTCTGTATTATTAATTTTAAGTTTTATGAGATTTTTATTTTGAACTTACATATTTATTTTATGAACAAAATATTGAAATTTAATGGAATTTATTCATCAAACCGGATACCGGAATTTTTCAAGTGGTTGGAAAAAGAAATTAAAGCTCCACTTTTCTAATCAAACTCAAAATATTGAAGTGTTTTTTTTTTCGAAATTTTAACAGCGTAGCTGCTTTGTTTTAAGTACTATTTTTTTCAACACTTTGTTTAACTTTTAAAAAATGTAGTTTTATGTTAAGTCTGAAGGAAAATCTGTCTAAAACACCGACCGTTGGCTAACGCTCAAAAGGTTTATATTATTTGAATATTGTACATTCAAGTTTCGAGAATTTTATTTAAAATTTTACGATTAATAATGCATACAGAATACACCACTTACAAAAATTTGTACTTTCATTATTATGTACATATATGTATATTATATACAAATTGTGCTTGTATGTTTAAAAATTAAATTTTTACTTAGATATTCTAATAAGAAAAACAATCAACAATACACCAAAGCAATTCAATAAAAGTTTTTCTTTAGGGAAGCAATAACAAAATTGATTTTTGAGAATTTTTTAAAATTTTAGAAAATATTTTATGCATATTAGTATAGATATATGTATGTATGTAGATGGTCGTATTCACAAAAATAAAGAAAGATATTGAAATATTTTCGTCGTCGCAAGCTTTTGTTTTTTTTTTTGGAAATTTTATCTAATCGCGCGTAATTTTACGGTAATTTTTTATTATTCATACGAAGCTTCTTTTTATACCCTAGGCTTCTAGGTATGTTCTTGACTTATAATTCTCATTATTAATAATATTTATTTACGTTGAAATTTAACTTTATCATATTTGTTTAGAAGAGTATATTTTATTTGGATTTTATCAAATATTTAAATTTTGGCCAGAATTTTATTGAATGAAAAATATACACAATGTACATAAGTACACATAGACGTACATACATAAGTACCTGGTTTAAACTTTCTTTAAAAAACTAATTAGTATTTTAAAAGCATCTTATTTTTCGGTTAATTAAATGAATCATGTACTTTTAAACGTTCTGCTGATGAGTAATTTCATAAGAATACTCGGTTAAAGAATGATAATCACATTATATACTAACAATAGTGATTGAAATTATTTCGTTAAATTTCGTACTTTACTTAGATACTAAATACTTAGATATTAATGTAACTTTTCATTGAGAATATTTTTCTCATTTTATTATAAGCATTTTCAATCAACCATATTACGTATTTTGAAAATTCTAAGTCTAAATATAATATAATAATTTTTTAATTTCTTAAACTAATCGCACAAATTTCTTACTTTTGCACTTTCAATTAATCTGTTTTCATTTCACTTAAAATAAAATTATTTAAAATATGAGTCATGAAATCTGCTTATAATTCCCATTGTAATACATAAGTATTTTTAATTATCATTTGGAATTAGATACATCTATTTTGTTTTATATTACTGATGAAGACTTGACTTCTCCCCTTAACGAACCCAAAACCACATGGATAAAGTTAAATTTTCAAATTGTGCCACTCTACATATTTAAGTGGGTTGACATTTACTTTTTGTCGCTTAAGGTGTTAATAATTTTTTAAAACAAAAAATCACTTTCTTCTTCATTTATTTGTCACACAAAAAGAAATTGAATGTTTTGAATGAAAAAAAAGTAAAAATTAATTCAGTTATGCGATGGTATCATAGGTTAGAAATCACAGTGGGGCTCATATTATAGTGTAACAAAAAATTTAAAGTATAAAATAGGCTGTTTACCCACCTAACATAAAAAATAAATTCCTTATTTCTAAATTGATCTGATATGTGTCAATTTCATTTTATTTATCTAATAGATAGTGAACTTAAATAGAATTAAAATAATTTTATTTAAATTCACAATATAAGAGAAAGACGTTGCTGTTTTTATTAACAAATTATAAAGACAAAGCATTATATAGATATGTTTGTAAAAGCAAATACAAAGAAGACAAAAATATACATTTGTAGCTATGTGAATACTTAGTTAGCAAGCAAAAATTAAATATTTGAACAATAATGTTGATTTTACTTATGACATTTAATCCCTAAAATAGGAAAATTTTTAGAAGATTATTACAGAAAAAAATTCGATGATCGTAGCAGAAATCTCTATATTTAAATACCATCATTGCCCATACATGCATCGCATCTCTTCGTTGCGTTCGTAAGCAATTCTTCGATTGTGTGGGTTAGGTTAAGAGACGACTGTTTTGGGCGAGCGCCGAAACACGCTAGTTACATTCTTTATTTTTTCAACCGCCTTTTATACTAAATTGTTTAAATTCTCATGTGTATACAATTTTCCAAAAATTAATTAAAATTGGGGTTTTAGGTCAAAATGTTAATTTAATTCTTCAAACAAAATTTCCTTTACTTCAAACATTGCTTCATCTACATATACGCACATAACAATATGTATATACATATAAATATGTACAAGTATTTTATATTAAATCCGGGATTATTTTTTTTGCTTTTTTTTTATAAATCATCCAAAATTAAAAACTGAACGCCTTTACCGTAATTTTATTATATTAAATTATTTCTTCATAAATATCAATTAGATGAACATTTCGAAGTTCAGGAATTTCGTTTACATGTATAATATGTACATTAATATTTAACTGGACATATTTAAGGTAAAACTTAATGTTGATATTCATTTACTTTTCTCATACAATTAATATAAGTAAGAGAAAAGTATTTTTCTCTACTCGTAAAACAGGCGCAATCATAAATGTTAATTGTAAACAGAATAAATGACTGCTGTAAAATAAAATTAAATAAACAAACAGGCGAAAAAGGTAATGTTAATAAGCCGCATGTATAATGGTATTACAAATTTATACTTTCGTTAATACAGTAAGATGTATATTTAAACATTGTATTGTATTATATATTGTATTAGAATTCTGATCTAAATATTTAGAATTACCCAGCATTTTTATCACGAATTTAACAGCCTATTGGTGTGTCTCGCTTTTTTTTAATCACATTTTATTCACTTTCAAATCTTATTTCATTTTAATTCCTCGTTTTTCTAATTGATTTTTTATTTTTTCAATAAGATTACTCATTTTTTCAGTTTGATTTTTTACATTTTTTCTCAAATTAGAGACTGAACATCTTACTTTCAAAGTCAATAAATTTTGTATACAGTTAAAAAAAAGGGGTTACGAAATACCGAATAACTCGAAAATTACATTATATAAATATATAATTGACCTGACCATTGGTGCAGTGGTTATGGCACCGGCCCTCTAACCGAAGGGTCTCGGGTTCAAACCCCGGTCAGGTCACTATAAAAATTATATTCAATATTATATAACTTAATATGCAATACTAATAAATATTATACAAGTAATTTTCAAATATTCATAATATTCGATAAACTAATATTCGATAAATTCGATAGACTAAAGACTAAGAAAAATAAACAGTAAATATTAATAAACTGAAATATTTAATATAAATAAAAACTACGGTAGGCTAGTCACCTACCTAGCTAACTCTCTATGACTATAGAAACTAGGACATGACATGTATCATGCAGTAGCCCTATACTCCTCCTAGGAGTGAAGAAAGAAAAAAAAAATATATAATAGTTACTCACTTTCCTCTTACTTGCCGAGTATAATAAAGAGATAGACGATCAGGCTCTAATTTTTTTTTTAAATGTGTACATAAACGCGTACATTTTGAATCACTACCGTTTACTATTCCGCTCTCAGATTTCATACAGAAACGCACCTTATCTACTGCTTGAAGCATACAAATCGATAATTTATTTATTCGATACAAAACACTTCATTATTGTTTGTTTTTGAATAAGCATTCCTCATGGTTGTCATACACAGAACTATTTTTCTTCTTTTCGTTTTAATATAATTAAATTCAATGAAAATTGTTCCATTTATAAAATCTTTACCTCATCTAAATCGAATGGTAATGGCAAAATTGTTCACTTTTGTGAGCACAAATTAAAACTAAATATGATTCTTAAATACCCGCGTACAAACGATTTAATTTTTCTTCTACAACAACTGCTATAATTAAACAAAAGGCAAGTTTTTTTTTTATTTTTATATTTATACTGAAGAAAAGTGAAAATGTGACATTTTTTTTATTAATTTGAACAACAACACCTGGAAAGGTATCTTAAAGTCAAAAAGTAATTACAATGTTACTTTATAGAGTAATTACAACAGTTTTAAAAAGTGCATGAGCACGCGCTTTAAAGTTGATTTGTAACATCAAACGCAG